TTCATCTTGGAATTAATTTGATAGGTGGCCGGTGCTTTTTTGGACACTTATAAGCCTAAATTGAAAATATGCACAAAAAACGTAACGAGCACACACCCTTTAACCGAAGAATGCACCGTCGCGCAGCATTGCGCGACATCGTCCCATGAGACAGACTGGCTGTCGCGCACCATTGCGCGACATTGTCGTCAACGTGTTAACAGTTGAATGCTTTCACAATTTTGAGTAGAAGTCGTGTGCATGGCGCTTTCTCGAGGAGCTGATCACCCAGAGGTGACGACGGAACCGATCCTGCCCAGAATAACTTGTTAATTTCGAAAATCCACATTGTCTTGAAAACAAACTCGTTGTTTCGACACAAAGATAGTCTTAACAGTCTTCTGACGTTAATAATTCCCGTTTCTGGGATGCGCTCACCCATACGACATCCTTTCAGAATCGTAGTGGCTTTTTAATGCCTATATGACCTATGAAATGATATGCGGTGGGCGGTGGGCAGCCGATGTACAAGTCAGTGCTTTTATGCTCCCAGACAAATCTGGTGCCAATTAACCGACCTCGCCGCTCGTCATAACCTGGCCATTTTTGGGAGCGTACGTCGACCAAGTTAATTTTACAGATTTTATAACGCTCTAGTGAGGTGGTTATTCGACCCGGCAACGTCTCAATCTATTGTTGAGGACTGAAGGTTGTACAGGAAGGTTTGGGTTGTAATGAAAATGGAGAAGATTCTCGAAAGATCGAATTCATTCTCTTTGTCGAATTGATATTTGTCATATTATGAGCTTAGTGGTCCTGGCTCAACATACCATGACGTAACAACATCAAACACCCAAAAGGGTAGCGGACCCTTGGCTACGGGGCACGATAGCGCTGGAGTTGGAAGGACCAGTCGAAGGCTTCGTTAACAGATCGAATCCCCGCGGATGGGAGGAAATCCTACCTTTTCCAAATCAATTATATGCGACTATGTGTATGTGCTGATCTGGAGCTCAAAAGCAGTCATTAGAACACTGCTTGTACAACTGTGAGTGTGAGCCAAAAAAAANAAAAAAAAGTTGGCAGCGAATTTCTTCGACAAGGAATTTGAAGCTTCAGAATTTCGGACTGAAGTGCGAGCATGGTGGCAAGGGTGATAGACTTCCAGAAGATCTTCAGAGTAATCACCACATGGGTGAACAAGTAAAAACACTTGCGCCATAGGCTTTCGCACCCTTGTCATCAGAGATTGCACTTCACCAATGTCGAAAATTTCCTTCTACAGGTGGAGCCAAGGGGTAAACGAGAATGTAACTGTTGAAATTGTTAACAACACATTTACTGAAAGCAGTGCTCATCGTTCAACGGCCAACAATTGTCTGAACCGCCTTCAGGAGAGCTAACCTTCGCTTTGACGTTCTCTCAGTTTTTTGGTTAGTGGGAGGTCAAGGGACCCACATATGTACCATGGGTTAGCGAGCGCAGACGAAATACTCCCAGCTACCATTTGCATTGGCCAAGTCCAGCATTCAGCTAACGACCCAAGAAACAAAATTCCAGCATAGACGACAGCGTGCGTCAAGGTTTCTCTTTAGAGGCCAGCCAGAAAATCTCTGAGTAGGCCTAGTTCCAGTTTGCTTCCCTCCGCTTAAACACAAGTTACGGAAAAGAGATAGGGTTTGTAGCCTATGATGATCTAAAATTGGCAGTCAGTGACTTCTTCCGATCACCGTCTCCTATTTTCTGCACAACATGCACCAAAGATGCGCCTGAAAGGCGAGAGAGGGCTGTTGATTTTTCTAGTAATTACAATCAATATGCTCGTGTAATTCCAGAAGTAGATTCAAAAGTAAAACTTTCTTTCCGTCGGAGAATTTGTTTGCCAACGTGATAGTCATCCGAATCAGTGTGGGCCATCCTTTTCGTTCCTTTTCCCGTGTAAATCGCAATCAGACCACATCATTGACATCATGCTGGAGTCTGATGCTAAGAAATCACTCTGAAAAGATAACCCGCTTATGAAGAACATTTGTTCGAAGTAGAAGGTGATTGGCATAGAGCTGATTATTAACTTGAAGGTGTGCTCGACTCTTCTGTAGTAGATGGTAGAGTGGGATTCTGCACCTTTAATGGCACCCTGTTAGGTCGTCTGTTACGACGGAAAAGCCATCTTCTCCATACTGAGAGGAGCCCATCATCTTTACTCCTCGCTACTGATCGGCTCAACGAGAAGACTGTTTGACAGGTATTGAGAGCAAATTAAAAGATCAAATTAAAGGCCCAATACAGATTTTAAAGTACCTGAATTTATACTTCTGGTGGGCACATAAATGTCACCAAGTTAAAGTTACTACCTCCTCTTTTCAAGAATCACCCTCGACTATGGCGTCTGCCTAAGTCTCTGTAGGTGGTCATTCTATTATGCAGGTTTCCGTCTTCTTATGTACTCCTAGCTGCCCCTAACGTTAGCCCTTTCTCATCTTTCCATCTGCCAATCTTACGACAGACAGATCTATTTAGACAGTTTTTTCGAGTGAAACTTATTTATCCTCGTTCTCATCACCCATTTCTCATTAACTTTGGAGGATGCTCTGTTTAGGTTACAGCTTGGCTCAGAAAGTCACTTGACATTTGAACTTACATGGCTGGAAGTTTTCGTACTATCAACATCGTTTGTTTTTCAGAAGTTTTCACCGATGGTTGCGACAACGGTGCAGCAGAATGGATCCGTGAGTCCTTTCCGATTTGTGAAAAAATTCCTTTGCTGAGTTTGAAGTAGCGGTCACTCGGGCGTAAATCCCCTCAATCAAGGTCAGTTTTTTAACCAGTAAATCGGAAGAAAGTGTCAAGCGTCAAAGTCAGTTTTAGTGTTTCGGTGATAGCCGAATACCTAAGATACACTTTTTTTACGAACGTGCAGCAGGCAGGAGATAGGCACATATAGACAGTAGATAAAACTTTGGTTCAAAATTCCGGTTTGTTACGAGATTACTCGTTGTTGGTTACACCTTCACCACTTTCTGGCTGTCGAATACGGTAGTCAGATTCCAGATTCAACTAAAGTCTTACTTTGCAAATTGTTTAAATCGTGAAAGGGTGTAATAAATGATCAACCAACTCAGTAGTCATATCACTTAGCAAAAAGCATTAGACTGCTCGAAACCAGTCCATCACACCATTCTTACCATTTGTTATATGTCCGCTTTCTTTCTGTATTCATTCTCCTTCATGGACTTTTCTTTTTGGCCTTTCAATTCTCTCCCTTGATGAGCCTTTCATTTCCTGCGGTTGCTTTGATGAGTATTGCCTATTTGTAAGCTTTAAGTTTCGTCGCGGGACACTCTCTACCAACTCAGGGATTGACTGACATGGTTGGAAGTGAATGTTTTAACGAAAACTAAAGTTTAAAAATTCTTTCAAGAGAAATACTGAGAGTTTAAAGCAGCCAATAACGGGTCTACTGTACCCAGTACCTTTTTCAAGCTTAATGTCATTTTAATTTCGTTTTTTTCTTATTTTTACTTAGGCATCTTCGAATGATACTCGAGCTAGGCGAACAGCCCTCTCCCCTTCCTNTTCCACTCCACCATTTACCTTTTTTCATCTACCAGCGGGGCCAATGAGCTCTGACCCATTGATGTCGTTTGAATGCTTGGCTTCCCCGTAGTTCTTTTTCACTACTCGGAACTCTGTTATCTTATCGGAGTAAATCGCAACTGCTGCACCAAGCTGTTGGGAAGAGTGAGGCGTTAACGATGTACCGCCTCACCTTGGGTTGGCGCTCAAGTACCAAAAGCACAACACTCGATTACAGGTCATCTCGTTGTTCACCCTCTTCACAGTGTACAACCTTTCTCTTGTACTCGCCGCTAATCATGACCTCTGCTTCTTAGAATTTGGCCCTGCTAGCCACCACACATCCCGTTCAGCAGTGGGTATGAATGTCCCCTGACCAACCATGAACTTCCCTGGACCTTTATGGCACACCACGAATCTCCCAGGCTTATCAGCGGAATTCTACACCGTTTCTGACACCCAAAGAATGAAGACAGGTTACGTAATCGCCTTTGACTCTCCACTTAATTTCACTAATCAGAACCAGGTATAAAAGGAAGGTGATTTCGCATCATACGCTGACATATTTCTGTATTTATTTAAGGTAAAGCTAAGCTAGTTTATCAGCTACTCATCAGAACCGTGAAAACTTCGACTCGATAGTGGCATGTTAGTTATTATATTCTTAGGACCATTATGCACTTGCGATTGATTGCTTATTTCATGTTGTTCGAAAATGATCGTTTATTTCGAATTTTCTTGCGAAAAATTCAGTTTTTTTTTTNNTTTTTTTTTCTCGCGGCCATGGACGTCGGTACCGGGAAACGGGCAGTAGAATCTGTTTTGTGTAATCGATTCGTCCCACGCGGCTGTCGCGGACCATTCCTCCACCGTTATTAGAGCTCTAGCGCTCTTCATACAGCTCAAGAGATATGCGATCCCTATTTTAGGCGTGATTCTACTATTAGTTCCTTTGTTCCTGTACTTTTCACCTGCTGCTGCATTCTGTTATATTCATTCGCGCGCGGCGTCCCACTTGCGGCGACGCGACGATTTCGTTCCTACTGCACCACGCGCGTCGGTGCCTGCTAAGGAGTGTGTAACAACTTCCCCTTCAAAATCAAGATCAGCATTTAACAAACAAGCATATCTTCATTGTCGACTACACATTGCCTTAATATGTTAACTGTAGATGCTACTTTAATTGCAATATGAGAGTTTTAAAGTGAAGGTAGTTTTTGAGTAATTCCCGGTTTTACCTAATATATTACTCCCCAGCGACTGAAATGGATGGCAGTTTTTCGACGCTGTGTCTTGTGAATGCCGTGGGTGGGCCAAAACTTGATCACGGTCGTCATCAAATATGCCTTCCAGAGTCCTCAAACTTGTTTGCTGGGTCTCCTTGGCACTGTGGGGTCGAGCACTATCATAGGATAAGTAGGCCTTGTACTGTTTGCAGCTTAGGGCTGCAGCGATGCTCAAATAGACTTGCCTTGTCATGTAAAGCTGGTGGCTACACAAATTATGAGGCAGCCATGTCCTGTAGTCCCTGGACTTTCCAATGTGATGAAAATGGGTGTGTTGTGATACACTGTAGTTCTTCTGCCAGATCACCTGTATCACGTTGAGGATCCTCGTCAGTTATTGGGAGGGCTCTTTATCCACTTCAATCAGCCCAACAGGCACATGGATTTTGTCACTCAACACAAAGTGGCTATTTCTGATTTATTTAAATTTTATTTCTATTTCTACTTCTTTCAGTTCCTGAAGCCATAATATCACCGAAATGCTAAGATGGATTTGTTATTACGACACCATTCCAAGTTTTTTTTTTCATATGCTCTTACGTTACACTACTACATATTTTATATATTTGTATATTTTGGACAAAAAGTTCCACAACTTTCCCTACAACCGAATACTTACTGGAAAAGCTTATTTTCTTCAACTCAAGTCATATTGAAATGCCCTGATAGCTAATAAAAAGTAACATTTAACCTGAAGAGAAGGCAAAGTTAACCGCCTCTTTTCCCTTACCTGTTTGTTCAGTTGTTCCTAACCATCACTTTATCACCACTTTTCCTCGGGAATTAAGCAAAAAGCGCTAGTGATCATCAAGGGCTGGGGGGAAGAGAGTGGGAGAAATTTGAGAAAAATAAGTTACACATTTAGAGCATCCTAAAAATATGCTAATAGAGTAGTACTTGAGTAAAATCACGTATTCGTCGGAATCCATTCCGTTACACATGGAAAGCTTCACGGATAACCGCTACTGCTAATACTTCTGTCATCTTTATTGGTGGCTTCAGCTCAAAACTTTCATGCACTCTTTTAACCGACCATTTTCCATCTTTACAGCTTTCCACTACAGCTATGGCTGGAAAAGTTCATACACCGCTAGTTCCTGTGCAGAGGGTCTCCTACCCTGGGAAAAATTTCCTGAAGGACGCGGTCTCGGTAGCGGATTCGGAGGTTTATGAGATCATGAAGAAGGTATTTTCCAAAAACAACTATAAATTCATCTTTCGCCACATTCTTGAACCGTGAATTTTAGGAGAAAATGCGTCAACGACGTGGTCTCGAGCTGATTGCTTCTGAGAACTTCACCACCAAGGCTGTGATGGATGCTCTTGGCTCCTGTATGACCAACAAGTACTCCGAAGGCTACCCAGGTGCCAGGTCTGCTTGATTCCTTCTCTTCTAATGCGGGTTAACCCACATCGAAGTAATCATAGGATTCAATTTTAGGTACTACGGTGGCAACGAATACATTGACCAGATGGAGCTGTTATGTCAGAAGAGAGCTCTCGAAGTACTCATTCAGTCCTTCCTCGTTCGCTGACCCAGTACATTCCCTTAGCGACCTTTTTAAGGTGTATGGTTTGGATCCTGAGCTATGGGGTGTGAACGTGCAATCGCTTTCTGGATCTCCAGCCAATTTCGCCGTCTACACAGCTATTGTCGAACCCAATGGCCGCATCATGGGCCTTGACCTGCCGGATGGTGGTCATCTCTCCCATGGGTCTGATTTTCTGGCGATTTTGATTTGAAAAATGTTGAAATTTGGAATTTATGATTTCAGATTCTTCACTCCCACTAGGAAGGTGTCAGCAACTTCGATCTTTTTCCAGTCCATGCCCTATAAGGTAGGTTTTTACGTCCCAGCGATTGTTATGTCGGAGATGGATGGCATGAGTTGAATGCCGTCATTGAGCGTAGTAGTGTATAGTCAGAACTTTGCTGCCTACGTCTGAACTCAATACTTCCTACGGGGATGCTTGAAAGGAAGAGTAAAGTCGATTTCTGAAGTTTTTGAATGCAAGGCGCATAGTAGCCCCAGAACTTAGTTGATTGCAACAAAGCTCCGTTAACATAGCCCCGTTAGAAAAAAAAGCTTCATTTTATCGTCTTTACGGTGACAGTCCCCTTTTAATGTCTCATTGTCTTACCGTCTTTGACGGTACCCCAACTTGCCGTGCCCTAAAATAGAGTGGGATCAAGCTGACCTACAAAAGTAGGTCCACATTCTACCCCTAACAGCGTCAAGAGGTGGTTATGGTTTCATATGGACTCACTCATCATTATTTTATGTTCTTATAGCAGTAACGTTCACACTTGCTGCTCGATTGTCTATCATCGCCCCATACATTTGCTAAGGTGGTGCTCCTAAATGGGCGCTGTTTGTAAGAGTAGCTTCGCGTAGCGCCGTATGAGTTTGAGTCGGTTTTGTGCAAAAAGTTGGTAGACTTTTTTTCTGGGATAAGATTGAGTTGGGCTCATGAAGGACAGGTGGGAGAGGAAGTAAGCTCTGTCCTCTCACATTTTTGGCTTTTTTTAATAATGAAGACTTTGTATTGCAGCTGGATCCTAAGACTGGTCTGATTGATTATGATCGCATGGAGGAGAACGCTATGCTCTTCAGACCTAAGATTCTGGTCGCAGGTAATCTTTCCATGCAGTTCTCGAAGAGTCATTTGATAGGAATCCAATTAAGGGGTGTCCTGCTATGCTCGTCACCTGGACTATGCACGATTCCGAAAAATCGCTGACAAGGTTAGGCTTTCTGAATGACATTTGGCAATGTGCCATATTTGGAGGTTTTTTGATTTTCGGTATGATTTTTCAGTGTGGAGCATACTTGATGGCAGACATGGCCCACATTTCCGGATTGGTCGCTGCTGGCGTGGTTCCGTCGCCATTCGAATACGCCGACATCGTCACCACCACTACCCACAAGTCGCTTCGTGGACCTCGTGGAGCGCTGATCTTCTTCCGTAAAGGTTGTCGATACTGGGAACTTGGCCTGTTGATCTTTTTCATACTGAAGGTTCCATTCCAGGGGTTCGCTCAACGAATGCGAAAGGGGAGAAGACTATGTATGATCTTGGCGAAAAGATTGCTGCCGCCGTCTTCCCAGGTCTTCAGGGTGGACCTCATAATCATACCATCACAGGTCAGATTTCTGGGATGTCAAGTGGTTTGTACACGCTCCAAACTCAACGTCTGTAAGACTCTAAGAGAATGGGATCTATTTTGTGATATTTCAATCTGAAGTAAGGATATTTTTTATGACGACAATAGAATGGAGTGGGAGGGGTACTGATAGTCTACTATCAATTGCATTAAACAGTCGGCCGTTCAATTGATCTATTGATTAGTACAGGTCCTACTGTTTACCTATGTAGTCATACAACTACATACTTTTCAATTTCAGCAATTGCTGTTGCGCTCAAGCAGTGTCTGAGCAAGGAGTTTGTGGACTACGCAAAACAGATATTGGCAAATTCTCATGCTCTGGCCGATAAACTCGTCTCGTTAGGTTACTCGTTGGCTACAGGTAACTCGCTTTCTTCCACAATTGTGATAAACACTTTTTTTTTCTTCCAACAAAATTTGCTATCATTTGGGTAAGCCTCATGATGACAACCTCGAACGGGGAGTAGAGAACTACGGTAAAGCAGTAGGTCTACTCTCCAACACTGGTTGACCGTGTCAATTGCTTTTCGCAGTGAACTCCCCGTTTAGACCACCATTAAATGGGGAAAGAGAGGAGGAGAAGGATGGGAGGTAGAGGGAGCTGAATATCATGTCACCTGGAGGACCTGGAGAAGGGTTGATGGGAGCTCGGGCGCTTAATGTTCTCGCCGTCTGCCCAATTCAGGCAGCCACTTTTCAGTGGGTGGGATGTAAGTATAGTTAGGCTTCCATAATTGGAATAGGGCTCTTACCGGCCACTGATAACTAGCTGTGGGTTTGGTATTAGCTCATAGAAATTGGGGGGATTCTTCGATTTCCGACTGTAGAGCTAATATAAAATACTCCCCTAATACAAATTCTCCGATTTCTGACTTTCCTGATTTTTCTACATGTTTGTAAAACTTCCTTCTTTCCCGGTGGAACTGACAACCATTTGTGCCTGGTTGATCTGAGACCAAAGGGAATCGAAGGTGCTAAGGCCGAGAAGGTGCTGGATCTGGCTCACATCACTTGTAACAAGAACACATGCCCCGGTGACGTTTCTGCTCTCCGACCGGGAGGCATTCGTCTGGGAGCTCCCGCACTCACTACTCGTGGTTTGAAGGAGAAGGACTTTGAACAAGTCGCCCTGTTCATTCACGAAGGTAAGCGTTCTGCTTCAATGCTCTGACCACGTATCAGTCTGTTTCCTTTTCAGGTCTCGAAATTCTACAGCGATATAAGGGGCAGTATGGGAAGACATTGAAGGAGTTCAATACATTTGTCGAGACTAACGAGAGCTTTTTGAAAGACGTAGGAGAACTTGCTCAGGTAAATGATTTGTGAGTTTCTTTGAGGAAATTCGTCTTAATTGGATGAACTCCATTTCAGAAAGTCGAAGAGTTTTCGATGAAATTCGAAATGCCTGGAAATGAAGAGTTTTAAAGTGCCTTTGTCTTTCCCTGTACTTAACTCCAGGACCTCATCTTCCCGATCCAATTGAAGTTGTTTGTTCAGTTTCAATTCTAATTTCCCATGCACGTGTTGTCCTTATACGGTGGTTGTTTTTGAAACATTAATTAACATATTTATCAGAGAATATAGAAATAAAAAATTTTGTATAGCGATCGATTTTTTCTCCGAGTTGGTTCATACTTCTCGTCCCTGGTTATCATGAAACGACATCAGTGCCTTTTGCGGCTGTACTGCTCCAAATACTCAGTGTCAGGTACCTGAAGCAAAATGAGTTAGAGGCACAGTTACGTCAAAAACGGTTCCTGACCAGGGAAGGATCCCAAGTCGAAGTGGCCATCTGAAATGAGACCTACACTGCTGGACGTGTTTTTGGATGCTGAGTTCAAATCTGCTTTCCAAATTTGCCGAGCGTTTCTGTGAACGGAGTTATGAGGGTGGTTTCAGGGAGCTTAACATAAGAAAACTTAAATTACATGGATGCGCATTTCTATTCAACGGCGGCTTGGTGTGGTGGTAAGCGTGGTTTTCTGGTTTTCTCACGTCGTATGAACTTTTCATGCTTTTGCTGATATTTATTCACATAAAGTA